GCAAACCGTCCGGTCTGACGAGGCGAAATCAGAATGTTCGCGCCGCCTTTTCCCCTGCTGAGTCACGACCGCAATTTCGGCCTTTCTCCGGCAGCTGCCACCTCCTACTTGCCGGGGACATCTCCTGCTTCCTCTGGGACGAAGAATTTTGCCTAGTCTCGTCATTCTTCCGTCCTTTCACTCTCTACTCACTCTCCCTCTCTCTCAAAAACTCTCTCAAAAATCCGAAACTTTGAGCTTCGATTGGAGCTTCGATTTCAGTTGAAATCGATCAATAAATACAGAAATCAACTCTAGAAAACCTCCCCAACAAAACCCACAACTCGAAATCAACTTAGGTGAGTGTTTCAGATTAAATTCGAAAATGATAATCAAATTGAAAATGGAGATTTGTATGTTTTGAGTGCGATTTGTGTATGTTTGAGCTTAGATTTGAGTTCCTGAAATTCCCTAGATTGTTTTGAACTATAAATGGTTGAGTTTGGCGCGAAAAATCGGAACCCGAAGTTCCTGGTTCGCCGAGACCGAACGGTCCAGGCCAGGACCATCCGTTCTAGGGTTGCAAGATCGTGAGGAAGAAGATGAGTCCAGACCGTCCGGTCTGGGTGTCTGGACCGTCTGTTTCGAAACCCTCAAACCGTTCGGTCCAGCTCTTCCAGACCGTCGGGACCAGACCACGCAGGTCGTCCGGTCCAGGTCATGCAGACCATCTGGTCCAGGTCTCTCTCACCCCTTTTTGGTTCGCATCGTCGGATCGAACGAGATCCGATGCAACCGACCCCCATACCCGATCGACCTTGACCTGTTTCCTACCCGAACCTTACTGAACTTGAACGAACCCTTTCACGGTAAGTAAAACCCTCGGAACGACTCGAATTGGTAATCTGGAAATGGCCGGAAACCAATTTGATCGGATCGGCGAATAAAAGACTAAAATGAACGTAATAAACATGGATACCAGAACTATAAGTAAAGACGTGTATATGCATGATTTAAATGAGGTTCATGTATGAGTGCTTGTGATTGGGGTTTGGGGTAGTTGGCATGACGTGAGATAATATTTCGGAAGGCCGGAGTATTGTCGAGCATGTGATTGTAGCCGGGTTTTGAGATGATATATCGATGATTGCGTTGTTTGAGACTCCTCTTTATGATCCTCGATCCGGGTCGAGTTTCATATTGAGGAGGCGTGATTGTGATTGATCGCCTATGGGCAGAGCTTGGAATCGATGATGCATGTGGTAGTCTTGAATGATTCGGCTATCACGGGTTAAGGAAATCTTACGGTTACTCTGTGACCGTGCCGACATTCCACTTGCTATTGGTTCGGGAGTGATTCCCGGTAGAGACTGGCACACATTTACCTGTGACTCGGGATTGAGAAATTCTCCCGATGAGGTTATGTAGAAATACTCTGAAAGATCTGGGTTTGGGTCTGATGAGCTTTTCCGTGGCGGATGGCCGGCGAGAGATTGTCAGTTGATGACTGACTTCACTCGACATAGTCGGTGGTGACCTGGAGGAGGCATCCGGTACTCTGGTATCGAGAGGTGACCTCGATATCAGAGGGGATGGTTGTGTGATATGTTTTTATGAAGTGTTGGGGCCTGAGTTGTTGTGTTTTTACTATTCTGGTTTCGGCCGAGGAGAGAGAGGGGATTGTGTGTTGCACATGGAGAGCTCTTACCTATGCGTGTGATGCATCCGTATATATGATTTGACGGTACCGGTGTTATTGATAGACCCGATGCGTCGAGCTATGACTTGTATATGTCCTGGACTGGTGATACCAGATCCTTATGCTATCCTATGTGTGTGATGTGATGCACATAGAGACGATTTGACAGTTGACGTCTGATGACTTGTCATCTGGACTGATTATGATTGCTACAAGAGTTACTGTTGATGAAACTAGAATTCATTATATGATATGTTGTGTATATATAGTATGCGTACAATATTGCTTTTGTTTAGTCATTTGCAATTTGAGTATGATCTTCGGATTTAACCCAAAGTACTCACTTAGCATATAGCTTATGGACGTTGTTACACAACGTTTCAGGCTTGGAGTAACTTTGGCAGCAGCAGGACGAGAGCACTGGTGATGTGTGACACTTTTCCCTGGGATCATGTATATTTTCTTCCTAGACATGTACTGTTTGCTTTTGTTGTTGGCGGTGTATACTGACTATGTATTATATCATATCCACCGTCCTTATGTTTGGTTTGTATACGTCTACTATAGATATGAGTTTACTATGTATATACATATTTCTGCTGCGTATGTTTAATATAAAATGTTTTAAAATTCCCGCTATTTTTGAGATATGGTTTGATCGTCCATATGTCGCAATTCGTGGGCGGGACAGGGGTTAGGGCGTCATAGATACCGAGCCTAGAGTTTCCGTAACTTATAGGTTAAAGATCCATGTCGAGTTTTTGACCGAAAATTCTCCCTCGTCGAGATGCTCCCAGCACATCTTGGACGAAATGTAGAATATTAGATACGGTTGTGAAATGATTTTGGAATACCTCCGTTTTAATCAAACTCAAAGACAACGAGAAATCAGATCGAAAATCAAATGAAAAGAAGTTTAAAGATGACCGAATTGGTGAGGCTATGAGCATTGTGTTTATGATCGTCGCTTGGTTATAGGAACTCTTGTCCTCACGGAAGTCCTCCATCATGGCACCTTTCTCATGCTGTCCATTAGCTTCGTTCATTTCATCTTTGACCAAAATCTAATTACAATCAAGTAGGTTGTACCACAATGGCATCCATTCTTGAGTCTACATTGGTATTTATACCAATTATGTCACCGTTTTTATATGTTGTGAGGATTATTTCATTGGCGAATGTTTGATCCTCTTCGGAATGCATTACCTTTCTCCATCATAATTGTTGAATGTTTGAGGCTTCTTTTTCTAGTCTCTGCAAAATTTTAGCACAAAAACCATAGTATGTATTGTTATAATACTCGGTTTCGGTATACTTACGTGGTTCTCTCCCTTGCAGCATCCATTCGAACTCCAACTTGCTCACTCGTGCCCTTGCTTCTGTAATGCAAGATAATTGCTCCTCTTGGAGGATTTGAATGCTTCGTTGAATGATCCATTGAACATTGAGAGATATGCAAGAGTGGTATTGATTTGGGCTCGGTTTGTACTACAAGAGACGGGATAGAAATTCTCCAATTGTTGCCAATGAATTTTTCTCTCACTTTTCATCTCTTTCAATATCATTTCATATGTAATATTGAGGATGAAATTAACGGCTCTTACACAAGTAAAAGATTGAAGGATTTCTAAATCCCTCTTTGGTAGAAGAAATCCATTGGAGTCTTTTTGGTTTTGGTTGCGGAAACGTGAAGAAAAAAAATCAGAGGGGTCCAAAGACCTTAATACTCTGATACCATGAAAATTTCTAAAAATATTCTTGTGTTTTATATCAAGAACACAAAGAAATCAGATTGGAAACTCGAAGAAGACAAGAAGAAGAGAGGTGATCATATATAATGTATAAAAAATATAATTTTATTTCACTTAATTCTAATGTATATCAGAATAGTTTATTATATATACAATATGTAAAATGCAGAAAAGAGGAAGTATACTAACGGATATATGTATAAGAAATGGTAATAGATATTTGTCAAACTCAAAAACAGAAAAAGAAATAAGGATGTTTTAATATTATATTGATGGATTTGCTTCATTCTTCAGTAGAGAAAATGCCATAATATATTCTTCATAAATTTGGATTGATCCTTGATAAAGATCATTATTTTGTCAACTTTGATGTTCTTCTTTCCATGTTGACATGCACGTTCCAGTTTAGCTTTTGTGTATGTTCTCCATATTGCCATGCAAATTTGTACACTTGTCAAATATGTCCTCCATGATGCCATGCACCTTCATGTGTGTCTAACATCGTGATCTATTCAGTAGCTTTATGATATGTAGGTTCACTTAAACTATGTCCATCCTCAACATGAACTAGGGTCTTCACTTGCTTATATTGGAGGAAATGGACCTAGTCTTCTTCGACTGTCTGGGAAGCAACAAGAGGTGATGCATGGAATCTACCAGGAGCAAGGTCGGACCGAATCCAGGCACACATTACTGGTCGGAACACAACCACCTTCTGCTGACTAAGGGTCGGATATAGTACTCTGGAAGCATGGTGACAATGACTTCAAGCCTGCCTTCAAATTATCAAACACTTGGAACCAGATTCGATCACCCAAGCCAGTGATCCAAATGGTATTTACTAGTCTGGTTTCGACACTCCATTCCTCGCCATGCCTTTGTTCAATGGCAAGCGATGCACAACCGACTCCCGATGAAAGACCACCTCAACCGTTGGGGTGTCATATCAGATACCTCTTGCAGCCTTTGTGGAGGGGAAGAGGAAACACATCAACACCTCTTCTTCAAATGCTCCTACGTCAAACAACTATGGAGTTTCTATGGCTCTTGCTGTTGGCCTAACCAACTGGAGGACCTACAAAGTTGCCTATCATGGATAGACAATCTGAGCAACGACTTCGCAAGGAGCAGGAAGACAATCAGCAAGCTGATCGCTCAAACTGCAGTTTATGAGCTCTGGAGCAATGTCGGTACATCCTGCTAGCCTCCAAGGGATCGACAACCAATGTCGGTACATCCATCCTACAGCACTATTATTCGTTAACGGAGCATACAAGATCATGATAGGTTGAATTATGTCTGTTCTGAACAACAATTTTTTGTACCATTTTCATATGGGTTTTATTTTCCTTCTGTGTAGAACTAAAGGCTGGTCGTAAACATTATTTTTTGAGTTCGAATACAATCACCATTACCAAAAAAAACGTCACACACTCTCCAAAGCTTCTATTGGGCCTGGTTTTAGCTCTTCGGCCCATTTGTCCTGATTTGGCGGAAAAGGAAAAGTCTCCCGTTGAGGGAGAGTCTTCGACTTGATGAAACTACGCGTATTGACAAGAGTCTAACGGCGGACGTGTGGCTCATTCAACGCGGGAAAGAAAAAGCGAAAGAGAGGCGAAAGAGAGGCGACGAGGTGGAAGAAGGCTCGGCGGTGTTTGCGGAGGCTTCTTGGAGCAAGATCGGTGGTTTTCCGGTAAGGTTTTCTCAGGTTTGTTCTCTTGGCTCGTCCTTTCTTCGTTTTATGTTCTCGGTTGCTCGGTGAGGCTCCGCCTTGGGGAGTACCACCGAGGGTTGTACTTTCCGGCGATCCTTGCCGTGGATCTAGTGGATTAGCCGGTTCCGTCCGGCCGAGATGTAGGCCTGAGCATTCATGCTGGGGGCCGAACTCGTTAAAACTCTCGGTCTTCTTTCTTCTTGCGTTGATCGGAGTATCGGAGTGACTGAGTTTCTCGGTACGACATTAACAGCTTCGTCTCTGTGAGGTGAGAGACCATAATTTCCGGCAATTTTTTACCGGAGAGATCATAAATTCTGTCTCTCTCCACACCTTATTTCTGTAAACTCGTCGTGTTAACGTTTGAATCTCTCTATTTGTGTTTTATATGATTGATTTCGGTAGGTTGAGTATTGGAGGAATGGATGATAAAGGCAGTATCAATCGGTTGCAGGATGATGAGATTATCTTGATAATGTCACTGCTGAATACAAACGACGCAGTGGCCATGAGCTTTGCCTTGTTAAAACGGTGGCCTCTGTGGGAGCGGGTTTCAAAACTCGTGTTTGACGATAGAGAGAGTTTATTGAAGCTTCTTGTCGATGGGCATTTGCGATCACATAACTCGGAAAACCCTGATCACGAGAGGTTTTCCCGATTTGTAGACGGGGCCTTGCGATTAAACAAGGCTCCGGTTCTTGAAAGCTTCGATCTCAGCGTCGGTCCGTCAAGTGGCGCCGAGGATATCCAAAGATGGGTCCTGGCAGCTATCCACCGATCTGTTCATGAGATGAGAATTTATCGGCATGATTTTGAATCGACAATTGACTTACCAGGACATATCTTCACGTGCAAAACCCTCGTGGTCTTGAAACTCGTAAATGGGATTTGTCTGGATGTTCCTTGTACGATTCACTTACCGTCCCTGAAGACTTTACACCTTTCGTACATTCTTTTCACAGACGAAGAATCCTTTTCTAACCTCGTATCTTGTAGCCCGGTTCTTGAAGATCTGGATGTGGATACTCCCGATATCTTTTTAACCACTATCACTATTCGAGTGCCGTCTTTGAAGAAATTGCGTATTGTGACTTTCAATCGTATTGAGTGTTGGGTTCTCTATGTTCCCGAGGTCGTGGAGGCGCATGTTGGGGTCCTTCGAATTTATCTTGAGAATTTTCTTGCTGCTCTTTCCTCAGTGAAGCGGCTTTCCTGGGAGTTAATTTCAGATCCAGATTTAGTAAATATCTCATTCTCTACTGCAATCTTTCATCAAGACCCAGTACCTTAACATATATAATCTTATGCAGGTAGTTTTGTATCCTACTGGTCGATTCTTGAATCAACTTGTGCATCTGAAGCTGCAACTGGATATGGCTTACAGCTCGGAGATACTCATGTCTTTTCTTGAGCATTCCCCTGGACTGCAGTCTCTCGAGATAGTTCAGGTACTTTTTACCGGTATATTTTTGTATATTTCTCGTATTAAAATGATTTAAACTGTGGTTTAATGGTATTTTTATCGTGTTTACATGCTACAAAACTCAGTGTGCTGCAGGTTACTCGCCCGAGAAGGAATTATTCTCGGAACCGGGTAAGGTTCCTGAATCCTTGTTGTTCGGTCTCGAAACCATCGTGTGGAAGAAATACAGAGGGATAGGAGCCGAGATAGCAGTGGCGAGTTATATCTTGGAACACGCTGGACGTTTAAAGACAGCGACTTTCGATACCTCTGCATACGGCGAATGGTTGCAGAAGAAGATGATCGAGGGCTTGCAAAGGTTGCCTCGGGGTTCACCATTGTGTGAGCTGAAGGTGATCAGGTAAAATGTAACGTCATGTGCGTTGGGTTTGGTCGGAAAACAGAGTTTTGGTGTAAAGCAGAGCGTTTACAGATTTTGTGGCTGGCAAACCGAAACGTTCCACTCAAATCTCTTTGTTTCTTCTTCTTCTTCTTATATCATGTTGATCTTCTTCGATTGAACCTTCCCTCAAACGACATGATGTAGCTGTTCTTTGTTTTGGGTATTGTTCATATCACATCGCATCTCAATCAGATTGCTATCTAGGTTTTAGAATTTTCATATTTTCCCGCATTTTCTTTCCAACCAAACACTCCACAGATTGGCCGTGATACTTTTCTAGGGTAAATTGGTTATGTGATTGGATATTTCTCATAAAAACTCTAATTGTTTGTTCCATTGGAATGATGATAGCAGTTTTTTTTCCTCTTTTTTCCCCGCTAATAGTGCCCTCAATTTCGCTCATCCTATGCTTTTGCATCCCATATTACACTTGAGTGCGCTTTGCAAACTCACCCAAACATCACGATAATTGGAGAAGAGGTATGCTCTTCAGAATATCATTTGTGGAACATGTAATTAAAATTTCAGCCTTGCAAAAGATGATTTGTTCAATTCCTTGCTCGCTGTTTTGGAATGTGCAACTCAGATTTTCTTCGTCTATTTGAACAGATGATTAAGAGTGTTTGAATCAGATTATCTTACATGGTCCCTGTTGCTGAAAGTCTCTATGTTCTGGACATTGATGAGAAACGTCTTTTTGCAGGTTTATGCCCACAAGCAGACATTGAAAAATGTTACTGATTACATTGTAGATGTTATCTGCAAACGGGCTGAACTCGGTTACAATTATGGTGTTATACTAATTCCGGAAGGATTGATTGATTTCATCCCTGAGGTACAATTTCCATGGCAGAAAGCAAAGTTTACAACTTCCGGACCAGAACTGTCTTTTCCTCGAATCATCATATATCCTTGTCTAAGTGTCCCCTTAGCTGACAGTTTCTGTTGTTTCCAACCTCTCAGGTACAGGAGCTTATTGCAGAACTAAATGAGATTCTAGCTCATGAGGTTGTTGATGAAAGCGGGCTGTGGAAGAAGAAACTGACTGAGCAATCCCTGAAGCTGTTTGAGTTTTTACCCGAGGCAATTCAGGAACAGTTGATGCTCGAGAGAGATCCACACGGCAATGTCCAGGTAAAATTAATTATGGTCTTGACCGTTTGTAATCATTTTCCATCAAGGTATTATACTAGATGACATCGTTCCCTCACGTTACCTTTGTCGATAGGTGGCTAAGATAGAGACGGAGAAGATGCTCATTCAAATGGCTGAGACTGAATTAGAGAAAAGAAGGCAAGAGGGTACATACAAAGGGAGATTCATGGGACAATCCCACTTCTTCGGGTACTTTCCTCGCTCCTAATGCAATAGAACGAACATAATCGGTTACTTGGTTTTCGTTGTCGCATATGATTCGACAAAAATGTGTGTTTTTAAAAAAAAATGACGAACAGATATGAAGGAAGATGCGGTTTGCCAACAAATTTTGATGCCACCTACTGCTATGCCATTGGTTATGCCGCAGGAGCTCTCCTTCGCAGTGGAAAAACCGGGTTGATTTCATCGGTTTGTATTCCTGTCCCGTGTTCTTCTCTTCAAACTTCTTTCTCGAATATATAAAAGAAGAAGACGGGTACTTGAACCAAAAGTTATGAAACAGGTGGGAAACTTGGCAGCTCCAGTGGCAGAATGGACTGTCGGGGGCACTGCGCTCACTTCTGAAACAGGTGGGAAACTTGGCAGCTCCAGTGGCAGAATGGACTGTCGGTGGCACTGCGCTCACTTCTTTGATGGATGTGGAGAGGAGACACGGTACCCACTTAAACCTCCCTCTCTCTCTCTCTCTCCCTCTCCCCCCATACTCAAGAGTTGGTTTTGTTAACGTGGCAGGTAAGTTCAAGCCTGTGATCAAGAAGGCAATGGTTGAACTTGAAGGTGAGTTTTTTGGGTACTGTATAATGATCAAAACAATCATCCTACACAGATAATAAAACAAATTCTAAAATGTTTGTTTGGAAGGTGCACCGTTCAAGAAATTCGCATCGCAAAGGGAGGAATGGGCGTTGAAGAACCGTTACATCAGTCCCGGTTCGTTTATATACACACCATCCCCCCGTATTATACACCTTCTCGTCCTCTAACAGTTACGTATTTGCAGGTCCGATACAGTTCAAAGGTGCAGGCTCAGACGCCGTCAACCACACTCTACTCCTGGAACTCGGGGCTCACTAACATAATTCCCCCTTGTCAAATCGGCCTTTTTGCCCAGAAGGTCCCCTTTTCTCACCCCCAGTTTACTTTTACTTTTGAAAGTTATTCATTGATCTTTGTAATAGTCCCCTTCCTCACTTTTAATTCGCCTTCTTTTATGCGCTCTCCTTTATTGTTTACTTGAATTCAATACCATATGAAAATGGTATATTTCCTGAACACGATATCATTTGTGTAATTACATCTTCATATGATTTGGGAGAAACAATAATTGAAAACCAATTTTTTTTTAGAAGAGGAACGAAACAGAATCGGAAGTGTAAATGCCATTTGGTGAAAGACACAAAGAGAAGAACACAAACCCATGTCCAAAAAGACACAAATGAAGACGCCAGAGACTTTGGCAGATCAACACAGAAGAGTTAAGAACTCACAGATCACACAATCACTGACTCTGTGTCTGCTTTTTCTTTCTTTTTTTCTACCTTTTAAAATTTTCTCTAGCATTTTTATTTAATTTTTTTTTCTTCTGCTGTTTCCCTCTCTTCCATAACTATCACTATTTAGGATTTTCCTGTGAAAAAAGGGCTGATTGTTGTAGCATAAATCCCGGGAGACCACCTTTATGTATGCAAATAAAAGAACGCGATCCTTTTTTCATGGCTGTTTATATAAATTTTTCCCAGATAGGATCAAGGCGATACAATCCGATTGGTAAGCTGGAATACTTTCGGGCACCCATCAGTATCGCTTCTCTACTAAACCAGCCATTACGGCAGCTCAATGCTGCGAATTTCAGCCAACTCTCTACATGGATTAAGGAGGCAGAAAACGAGTTGAATACATTGCAGGCTGTGATTTTGGAGGAACCAACTACCTTTCTGATCACAGATGATTGCCGAGGAGAGATTTTTCAGGCAGAGGTCCAGGATTAAGTGGCTCAGTCTAGGGGATAAGAATATTGCTTTCTTCTACAATATTACCAAGCTCCGAAACTCACACAATCGCGTCAGTTATCTCAAGGATGAAGTTGGGAACAGATTCACATCTTCACAGGAGATTGGTGAACACGTAGTGAGGTCTTATACAGATCTAATTGGCAAAAGGGATATCACACAAAGAAATCAGATTGATAACTAAAAGAAGACAAGAAGAAGAGACGTGATGTATAAAAAGGATCACTTTATTTCTCTTAGTTCTAATGTACATCAGAATAGTTTATTATATATACAATATGCAGAAAAGAAAATGTATGCTAACGGATACATGTACAAGAAATGGTAATAGATATTTGTCAAAAACAGAAAAACTATGGGTCAGATATAGTACTCTGAAAGCATGGTGACAATGACTTCAAGTCTGCCTTCAAATTATCAAACACTTGGAACCAGATTCGATTACCCAAGCCGACGGTACAATGGTATTCACTAGTTTGGTTTGTCCAAAAAAATCCGATCTTTTCGATTTTGCTTTCCAAAATCAGACAAAATCAGAATATCTTTAAAGGTTTCCCCGATTTTTCGGTTTAAACTTGTAAACTTCCATTTTCATTTCTCAAATTTTCGAAATATTCTTCAAAAAACAAAATAGGAAGGTTCTGCCGTTTCATATTCCTCTTTTGATTTTAGGAAAAAATACCTAAAAATTCCTAAACTTGTAATTTGGTGTAATATTAATTCTCGAACTTGTAGGTGCGTCTATATATTTATTCCTGAACTTGCATTTTTTAACACAATAATTCCTAAACTTGTTTAACAGTTCTAAAATCGTCCATACCGCTAATTAACCAAAGTAAAGTTTAGAATTACTGTATTCAAAAATGCAAATTTAGGAATTACTGTGTTAAAAAATGTAAGTTTAAGAATTAATATGTTCAAAAATACAAGTTCGGGAATAAATAGACGCACCTACAAGTTCAGGAATTAATATTACACCAAATTACAAGTTCAGAAATTTTTAGGTATTTTCACTTGATTTTATTTCTAATTTTTTCTGTTTGAATCTGCATATAAATACGTATATTTACACATTGACCTTGAGATCATAACGTATGCTTACGGATTCAGAAATCAAATCGAGGTTTTAAATTTTCGAAACTCCTCTTTTAATGCTCTTTATTTTATTATTTGTCGAGATCATCCAGTTTGGGTGACCTAAGCCCCCTGTTCTGTAACAGTCGATGTTAATCATTTTTCTGGCGAGTTCAACGTGTCAAATCTTCTGAAACGACCATACAGAGACAAATTAATCCTATAATGATCTGTCTATGTTTTGTTCAACCTCAGACATTTTCTTTTGGTTTTGTTTTCGGGACTTTGAAAGAACACAATCACGTGTTTGAATGGCCCAACAATCGTTATTCTAAATATCAGGCATTGTTGTCATGCAATTTGACTTGTGTTTACTTTTCCGCTCTTCGCGACTTTATAGTCTGCGGCACTTCGAGTTCTGGTTCCGGTTTAGTCCGAAATCCGACACTCTTGGTTCAGACGTGTCCCATTTCGGTTTTCTATTTTATTTCTAGTTTTGCCACCTTAATTAACCAAGTCGAGGGATCATTTGGACTTGGTCACTGACGGCGACAAGTATTTTCATATACATAATTTAGTCTTGTTCATGCCTCGATCCCGATTCTCAGATTTTGATTGATTTCGATTTTCTAAAAAACTTGAAATTACAATTGTCAGAATCTTATTTTTTGATGTTGGCTACATTAAAACATCGGTTTGAACTTATTTTTTATTCTCCTAAATTCTGATGAGATTTTCATATAATATTTATCAAAATTTTTCTATCCATCCGAATTTTTCTATCCATTGGTACGAGTGAACCAAATTTTTATATTTCTATTTGTTTAAATTTTCTGTGTATATATAATTACATATCTTATATATATACACAAGTATACGTTTTCTGTATCTAAGTTTTATAGTTTTATCAAAAACTTAATAAATTTTCATACATTCAGAAAATTAAATATAGAAACATGCATTTCACTCAACATGCATTATTCTGATTAATACACGAAAATATAGAATTACATGCATTATTATTTTCTAAATTATCAGAATATTACTGCTCATATTTGTTCTAGATTGCATGCAAACAAAAAAAATGTTATGTTTCTGTCTTGAAACTGTCATGTTGAACATATACGTATATTCTCTGAGTTTCAAGTTAAACCGAAAACACACATTTTAATTATGCTATAACAGAATCATATCATTCATGTATATTTACCTGTATTCCTATCAATCTGAAATTGTACATGAATTTTATTTAACATGCAAGTATTTAGATTCGTGCAAATTCTCTATGTGATATGCCATGAAGTGGCTCTAATACCACTTGATAGTATTTTACAGAAATACTATATTATATATTGTAGAATATTTTATATTGGACCAATTATCATACATATAACACAAGGATATATTTTGGAATTTAGAACATACCTAAATCTATTGTGAGTTGACAATTAGCAGAATGTGGGTAGAGTTTTTCTAGGATATCATGTAAAAAAGTTTATTATGTGATAAATGGGTGCACACAGATTTTGTTCATTTAGTCTAGGAACCACTACTACTATTTATAGTAATAGGTTTGTATAATTTCTAAATCCGCCTATAAAAAATTAGATAATTACTTCATAGCATCTACATAATTATTTGACCCTATATTTTTCTATATTGGCATATCAGACCACCCGTAATTAGTGGTCTTAATCTTCAGCGATTATTCATATTAAATAATAATTACCATATATTGATTATAATATTAAAATCAAAATATAGCTGTAACACATGATTTTGTTGAATTATGTTTGAATTATATCTATTCAGAACAACAATTTTTTGTACTACTTCCACGTGGGCGTTATTTTCCTTTTGTGTAGAGCTAAAGGCCGGTTGTAAACATTATTTTTTGGGAATATAATCACAATTACCGAAAAAAAACGTAACTGATTGCTTACGAGTCGATCCTAGCCATCTGCCACGTCATTAATCTTTTTCTACGATTGTGATATAACACACCTGCGCTCGCACGCACACACTCTCCAAAGCTTCTATTGGGCCTGGTTTTAGCTCTTCGGCCCATTTGTCCCTGATCTGGCGGAAAGGAAAGTCTCCCGTTGAGGGAGAGTCTTCGACTTGATGAAACTACGCGTATTGGCAAGAGGGTTGATGAAACCCTAAGGCGGTGTCAACGTCTGAAACTGAAAAAGTCAAAAAGTTGAGTTTTTTAATAAAAAAATAACTAAAAAAATCATTATAAAATTATGTAAAGTTTTAAGACGGCAATATATCTGGTATACCCTTTGACTGCTATTCCAACTTCTACTACTACCCTTGAAACAAAAAATTGAAAAAAAAACTATTTTTTATGGCAAATGACACAAAAACCCTAAATATTTATGAATAGACCAAAAAACCTGACAAATTTTGAAAAAAAAATGAAAAAAAACAAATAAAGACGCAACGTCTCTCTCTCTCTTCAGTCGCGTCTTCTCCCTCTCTCTCCTCACTCACGTTTCGACGCTCTCTCTCTCTCCTATAACTTGCGATTTTCTTCAGTCACGTCTTCTCTCTCGTAAGATTTGCGCTCGAAACCTCCGAACCGTTCCCGTGTTTGTGCCCCAAATTTCATTTTCTCTCAGCGTTTTCTCTTTGGGAAGACAGAAGAAGCAACGTCCGACTGCGAAAAAATGGCAAGTTCTGGGTCTTTGTCACATTCCTCGAGCGAAAGTGAGAGCCGTATGGAGATTTCGGAATTAGATGGATACAAGGTAAGTTAAACTTCAATTTCTTTGCAAATTTTGGAGTTAGATGAACACAGTTATTGTTCGATTGAAGGGGTTGGGAAATTTGAAGGATAGAGCATTAGGGTTTTGGGCAATTTTGAAATTTGGGGATGTGGAAATAGAATTTTTGTTTGAGACTTTATGGTTAAAATCGAGTGTGATGGTTGAGTTTCGGTCACAATGGATGAGTTTAAGTCAAGTTAAAGAAGTGATATAGGACACAACACGGTATGGGTCGGATTGTCATGAGGAATCGGATGACCTAAGGATTCAAATGCTATGGTCTCACGGTTACAGTCACAAAGGTCACACTGTCACATGATTGTATAGTCACTAGGTCACAGTCTCAAAGGTCACAGTGTCACATGTTTATATAATCACAAGGTCACAGTCTGAAAGGTCACAATGTTTGATGTTTTGCAGGCGCCGTATATCTACAAACTTGATCAAATTCAGTTTTGCCCGAAGATAAATACAAGATGTTATCCGGCTCAGACACTGAAGAAGCTGAAAGACCTAGTAACAAACGAGGAATGGATGTACTTTAGCAAAGAGTCACAGTTTCAGCATCTGTTTCACACCAAATTCGAAGAGACATTGAAGATGGCACCTGCTGCATTCCTCATCAACCACGCAGTGTTGGTCGAGGACAATTGCGAGCTATGGTTTGTCGTCAATGGAGTACCCATCAGGTACTCCATCGTGGAGCACGCCTTGATATCGGGATTGAAATGTGGTGAATATCCGCCAGGGTGGGAGTACAAAAGGAAAGACAAGTTTAGACGGAAGATGTTTGGGAATCGAAAAGTGTCTAAGCAAAACGTTCTTAGACAACTTGAGAAGACGCCAATCGCTAAGGTTGCTGATCAGAAGAAATTAGCCATGGTGATGATACTCGGAGGGATTCTGGACCATGGCACCACAGAAGATAGTATCAACAATGATTTGATGGACATGGTGAATGATTTGGATTTCTGCGAAAGGTTTCCGTGGGGACGATATACATTTGAAAAGATCAATGATCAGATACAGAAAAGTTTCTCGAGTGGAACTCCGAAGGAAAAATGGCACTGTCGGGGATTTATAATACCCCTTATGGTAATTAGTTTTTGTTTAATGGATTAATTTAGAGTTGCCATTATATATGTTACTATGATTTGAGGGTTTGTTTGTTGTGTGATAATGTTTAAACAATATTTTGCAGTTGCTTCCATTCGAATGTATATCCGGCTTGGGTTGCAATGGGTGGTATAAAGATGTTGAAGAAGCAGATCCGGGGTGTCCTAGGATGTGCAAGAAGTCCGTGAAGGCAAACGTCCGATGGACCTTTGGTAATGTCATAAAAAAGATTGGAAAGAAATCAGAGGTACGCCTAAATCACAATATACAATAATCACATAGTCACATAATCACATGGTCACATGGTCACATGGTCAATGGTCACATAGTCACATAATCACATGGTCACATGGTCACATAATCACATAATCACATGGTCACATGGTCACATGGTCACATGGTCACATGATTCAGAATGTGTCATAATCACGTGGTCACATGGTCACATGATTCAGAATGAATACTTATAGTAACATTGAATCACATTTGTTTTCAGGGTATTAAACGCATACTGCAGATAGAAAGCGGTGAAGAAACAATTCTTTTTGATTTGGAAGGGTATGAAGGGAGTACAGATGCAAAGGTTCAATTTTGGATGCAACATCTGAAAAAGAACCCGGAAAATATATGTTGGAAGAAGAGTCGCGATGCAGAGATGCATTGCAGAAAGTCATTGGAGATGACTTTGAAGGGTAAGCGCAAAGTACTGATAGACGACGATTCAGAGGAAGTAGATGAGAAAGAAGATGTCGAAGAAGAAGTACAAGAATGAGAGCAGCAGCAACGACAACAACAACAACAACAGAGGGCTTTTCGTCAAGGAGTAACGGGGCTGTCACATATTGAAGCACTGAATGAATATATACAGCTGGAAATAAAAGCGTCTGAGAGCCGAATCATCGATTCTGTTGGGGATATAGTTCGACGAATTTTCAAGGACGTTGGGCTCCTTCTTGATCCAGTTACGAAGAATCCAACAGAGCCCGTAATTTTGAGGACAAGTCCCCGCCACACAGAGGGGTTGACGACAAGTCCGATAGATCTGGGCAATGTGAGGATGAGCCCAACCTTCAAAGAACCAGAGTATGAAGAAGCAAAACCGGCAAGTCCGATAGATTCTGTTGGGACTGATGATTATTATGATAAGGCAGAGGAAGAAAACTTTATATTGCAGTCTCGAGATGGGACTCCTATGGCTGTCTCGCCCAAGAATGCACATAAAGGAGAAGGGTGTTCGGGACTTGACACAATTGTGGCTACTATTACTGCACAAGTAGGAAGTAAGTACATGGTCACAGAATCTCAAGATTTAATGTTGATTGTATTTACTGACATGTATTGTTTTATTCTGTAGCACATGGATGAGGTGATGTACGAACTCCGAACCCGCGTTATAAAGAATCCCGTGACCTTCATTGGATGCAATTCCTTGGTGTGTGACACCATGTTTGTTGAGTTAATCAATACATGGGCCGAATCGGGAGATATGACAACTGTGGGTGATCTACACCCATACTTCGACGGAAGGCTTCCAATTGGTTGTGCAGGGACGCCGTTGATCAGCTACGAGGGATTCGTGAGTGTGCTTAATGTTCTCGGATTTGGAATGATGAAATCAGCTGCAATTGGATTGCCATTAAAGTGGATTTCAATGAGAAAACTCTGGAAATCTACGATTGCCAAGCCAGACTGCAGGAAAAGGCGAAAGAGGCAGTTCAAAAACTCTGCCATGCCGTTCCGAAGTTGTGTTGCCTCGCTGGGTCGGAAGCTTTCGCTGATGGAGATGTATTGGACATTGAATATGTGCAGGACGTACCCCAAAACAATGGGGAAGAATGCAGGGTTTTCGCAGTGAAGTACATCGAAGTCATTTGCCTTGCCAAAGAGCGGATGCTATTACCGTTGATATGCAATGACAATGTCACGTTAATCCGTGAACAACTAGCAGCAGCAATATTCGCTAATGGCAAGCCTCAAAGGTTTAGGAAGAAGAGAGAGTGAACGATTTCTAAACCCTTCTTACGTTTATGTTGTTTTGAACACTTTTTAAGACTACTTTTGTTTGTTTGACATTATCTTTTTTATTAGTATTTATGTTTGTTTGGATTAAGTTGGGAAAAAATCTCGGATTCTTAATGTTTGTATAGAAAATTATGGGGTTAAAATTTGAGAGAAAAAAAATATAGGGTTAAAATTTGGGAGGAAAAAATTTTAGGGTTAAAATTTGGGAGGAAAAAATTTTAGGGTTAAAATTTGGGAGGAAAAAATTTTAGGGTTAAAATTTGGGAGGAAAAAATTTTAGGGTTAAAATTTGGGAGAGAAAATAAACTGGGACCCACAAAACACAAAAAAACTGGCGAATTCTGACTATTTCTCGTATGGGTCCCACAACATATTTCGGTCACAATGGGTCACAGTCGGTCACAACCGGTCACAACCTTCGATCCATGCGATTTTTGTCAATTTAATCAGTTTACAATGTCACACATCCCTCATAAGCCTATTTTATATTGTTTTGAACAATAAAATATGGGTTTGGTGATTTTTTGGTTTCAAAGTAAGTATTTCAAATGTGTTCCTATATGTTTCATATTGTTTTATGAGTGATTTTGGCAAAATTGAGATAATCCTTCTACAAACCCATTTAAATAAATTTAAAATTTGCCTCTAACACTATATATTTAATATATACACTCTGATAAACCATCCTCAAGCTTTAAAATTCAAGTTTGGTTTATATTTATCAACACATATCGGTCACGGGTCACAGTCGGTCACAATGGTCACACAGTGCAAAATTGCACTTCGGCCACATGGTCACATGCCGGTCACAATGGTCACAACGTTGTCTCATGTGAGTCAATTCATATAGTGTCTAACTTAAACTAGATATATGTCAAAATTCATCTTCAATAATACATCTTTATTATGGTACAAACACAATATTATATATCATTACATTATACACACATATTACAATATCATCAACCAAAGTTCTTTGACATTATTGTACAAATGTCTTGCAAATACCTCATAATACCAATACAACACACAACATATTATTATACAGATTTTCAACATTGTCGATGTTTTTCACTCCAAAATAGTTGTTCTCTCTGACATTGCCGATGTTGATGTTTCCGCTACACATTTGATTCTCTTCCGTGCTTCTCCAGGACCAGGATACCGATTTTGTTTAGGCCTCCCAGATTGTCGTTTCTCATCCATTATAGGAGGCATAACCACAAGATTTGCAACATTCGGGTTATCGATAATCCATTCACAGCAATCGGGGACCGGATACACGGTTTCCTGATAGGCAAGATGCCATGTCTCCCGCGTATAATATGGAGAACACAAGTCTGGTATAACATTCGTTTTACCAACCTTATGAAGTGCTGCAATTGCATGGCTGCATGGGATCTTATCGATATCAAACATCCTACAACTGTACGTTCTACCTTCAATGCTAACAAGGTATTTTCTTACCCTTTTCACCCCTCACTTCAAACTCCTCTGTAACAGTGTTTACACAATGACTTCATACGTACATGCAGTCTCATACCTCTCATGGAGCATTTTGTCAACATGCGGTGTCATTTTTTCTGAATAATTGGCACGTCCTGCTTCAACTCTATATCTATCGAACCATTCCACGGTCTTGGAGATACACATATCCAGAAGGCCCAGCACCGGAAACCTTTTGGCTTTCTTCATTACAGAATTTATTGATTCCGCCGCATTTGTTGCCAATAAATTATACCTTTGACGCTTAAATTTACACCTTGCCCATTTCTCGGGATCAAGTTCTTCTTTCTGTATATACTCCGCAACTTTGGGATACCTACACTCACAATGGTCACATGGTCACATGTTTCAGAATAAGCAATGGTCACATGATCACAATATACAATAGCCACAATATGACAATATACAAGTCACATGGTCACACGGTCACATGGTCACATTGATGATGGTCACATGGTCACATAGTGACATAGTCACACGGTCACATGTTTCAGAATAATCACAATTTTAGATTAGGTAATAATGGTTAAAAAAACCTCGTACATGTCCTTCATATCATTAAACAGGTCTTCAAATTCGTTCAACGTATAAGCTTCCGCGCATTTGAAGAACCGTTCGGCAACGGTATCACCTCTCGAACTTTTTCTTCCCATGCCTTTGTTAACCTTGACTTTCAAATTTTGTGCTATATGTCTCGCACAAAATCCGTGCCCTGCTTCTTTGTACACTTCGCTGACGACCTTTATTATACTCCTATGTCGATCAGAAATCACGACAACATCAGGTCCATCTAGGATTGCCTTTATTAACATTTTCATACTCCATGATGCATCTTTTTCTCTGTCAATAACCCCCCAGGCTAACGGATATAGGTGGTGGTCACCGTCTTGTGCCGTCGCAACGACCAATGTACTCTTGTATTGTCCAGTGAGAAATGTTGCATCAATTGCAGCTACTTTACGCATGTAATTTCATCCTCTTACCGCTGCACCCAATGCGAAGAAGAGATATTTGAAACTTTTGCCATCTTTGTCCAACTCAAGACCGACAATCGTTCCGGGATTTCTCTTTTGCAACATGTGCAACCACCCAGGAAGTTTTCTGAAATGCTCAGCAGGATCACCTCGAATCTCACTTTCAGCTTTGTGTTTGCCTCTTAATGCCGTCAAATATGTTACGGTTGTACCGTACTTGGCTTTTACCCTGTCTACAATTTCATGGGCTGAAGGCATACTATCAAGTTTACCGGGAAATTCTTCCTTCAAATAATCCTGAACCAATTTCTTTGTACCCTCAAAGCTTCGCTTGTTTCAGATACGGGTTTGCAGCTATGCATGGAATTGTGTTTTCTTACACTCCAATGCTCCGAGTTTAAAATCAATGACGTCCGCAACTTCCAATTACAGCCCGATTCAGCAAATTTGGATCTTATTTCCCACAACTTTTTATCGGACTTCAGTGTACTGTAACAAAAACGACCCATAGCTGCACCTTGCAAACAAATTCTTGTGCTGCTTCCTTATTGTCAAACTAATGGCCAATTGTGATATTTAAACCATCACTGAAACTGAATACAGAATTCGAATATTGAGAGTCTGCTACTATCTCAATGGCCAAATCATCACCACCATCAGCACGATCCCCATCACATTCAGTCACTATAACATCCCTAAGACCACTAGAATGTTCACTGTCAGAAAGATGTATAACCTCTGCCACATTATTACTCCCAACTTTACTCTTAAAATTAGGGCTCAACATAACACAATCATCATAATCTATCTGATCTCGCTTCCTACTACCTCCAACACCACTTTCACCAGCAGGAATTATAGGTTGTTCTTCATCATTTTGTTCACATTCACCTTTCACCCGTACCTCATCTATCTCCACATAAAGCATGCCTCGCATTCCATTTATTTTATCCAGTAGATAAATATGAACATGCTTGTCATTACATAGGTAGGTGGGCTTTCTGTTTTCTTTTATATTTGGTAAATAGCTCAGCTTGATCTCTACTTTATCTTTATCTACCTTCATCTCCGAACATAACTCTCTAACAAGTTCACTGTAGGTCATCTCCAAGGGGGGACAAAAGAATAACAATCTTTGGTTTTCCATAACCCTTCCTTCTCATTCATATTCCCCATTCTTATTCTGTATCCAAGCACCGCCATATAGAAAATATATAATTGTTGACCTTTTGTCTCGCCCTTCCATTATACCACTGAGAAACAGAGTTACAAAATGAAGATCAATTCGACCATTCTCAACATTGTGATCATGTGATCATGTGATCATGTGATCATGTGACTTTGTGACCATTATTACCAATATGACCATTCTGAAACATGTGACCATGTGACCATGTGACCATGTGACCATGTGATCATGTGACCTTGTGACCTTGTGACCGTATGACCTTGTGACTACTGTGACTCTGTTCCTATTGTCACCCATGTGACTGGTTTTCCTAATGACATGAACCATGTGACCAAGTGACCCTGTAATAGTGAGACCGCGTGACCACTTCACCATATAACCCCCTAATCTATTTGTATGATGCACATTGTGACCATTGTGTCATGTTTCTATAATCACCCATATAAGTGTTGTGCACATTGTGATCATTGTGACCCATATACCCATGTTGACATTCATGACAATTAACCTGTGTGACCCGTGACACAGAACGATGCTCGGAATGCATCCAAAATGCAGATCTGATATAGATTTTTGTTTACAAACGACACAACTACAGAAAACACAATAATTGGAAGGAAAAAAACCGCAACAACCATCAATGTGTATGAAAAAAGCTGAGATTTCGACACAAATTTACCTATTTCCACTTTCGTCACTGATTTCGCCTTGATTTGCCCGTGATTTTGTCCAAATTCGACAAATTTTGAAGACAAAATAGCAAAATGAGAAGGAGAGAGAAAACGCAGTAGAGAGAGACAGCTTAGTCGACAATGGCGAGAGGAGGAGAGAGAAACCGTTTTTGAATAAAGAGAAACCCTAAAAAAATGGAGTTTTTTTTTATTTTTTTAATTTACTCTAAAGGGTATTTGTGTAATTTGTGAATGAAAGGGTTAAATTAGAAGTTGGAATTTTTTTTTTCAAGTGGAGGGTAGTATTAGAAGTCCTTCTAGCACATTGAGGGTAATTTGGAACTTCCCCTTTTAAGACGGGGCAACTTCCGTTTTACACTCAATGTGCTACATCAACTTCCACTCATACCCTCCCCTTTAAAAAAAAATTCCAACATCTAATGTACCCTCTTCTATAAATAATGACCAAAATACCCTTTTGTATTTAATTTTTTATTAAAAAAATATCCCCAAAAATTAGGGTAAACATGGTCTCTCTCTCTCCTACACTTTCTCTCTCATCTCAATCTTGCGATTTTTTCTCCAAAATCGGTAGAAATCAAAGCAAAATCAGTTGAAAATTGTTGAAGAAGTTGAAAACAGGTAAGAAAATGTGAAAATCTTATTCGTTTCTATCCACATTGATGGTTGTAAGTGTTTATATGATGAACAGTGATGCTTCTTCTACCTTTTTTTCTTCTAATTGTTGACAGTTTTGAAGTTTTATCTTTTGTAGTATAGTATAGTCATAGATCCGGGTCGGATCTGGATTTTAGATGTTGTTTCTAGAGTATCACTAAACACAAATGTCGGGTCACAGTAGAGAGGAGTTGGTGAGATGGCCACACGGTCACACGATCACAAAGTGACATGGTGATGTTAGTCACGGCTCATTAGCATAACGGTTGGCATATGTTTCAAGAATGATATGGTACTATTTTCACATGGTCACATGGTACTATGTTTACATGGTCACATGGTACTATGTTTACATGGTCACATGGTACTATATTACAATAGTCACATGGGACTATGGTCACATGGTCACATGGTACTATGTTTACATGGTCACATGGTACTATAATAACATGGTCACATGAGACTATGTTCACATGGTCACATGGTACCATGGCCGCATGGTCACATGATTCATAATAGTAGGATTGGTAATAATGGTTACAGGGTGAAGAATTCACATGGTCACAATGTCACATGGTCACATGGTATTATATTCATATGGTCACATAGTCCAGAATAGTTGAATTGATATGTATTTTGTATTTGTGCTTTCTACAGCTACGATGGACGGGCAAGATGAGAGATCGACAATTGTATACTTTCTGTATGATGGTAGGTGGATATTGAATAAAAACGGATAATATGAATGGGAAGGAAAGTTCATGGAAAATCAAAGATTGCTGTTCTTTTGCTCCCCTGTGAGGTAACCTACAGTAACCTTGTTCGAGAGTTATGTGCTGAGATGAAGGTGGAGAAAGATAAAACGGAGATCAGGTTAAGTTATTTGCCAAATGTCAAGGAGAACAGAAAGCCGACTTACGTATGGAATGACAAGCACGTTCATATTTATTTGTTGGATAAAATAAATGGATTGCGAGGTATGCTTTATGTGGAGATAGGAGAGTTACGTATGAAAACTGATGCTGAAGAAAACGTTGAAGAAGAGGCTATAATTCCTGCTGATGGTAGTGTTGTTGGAGGAAATGGGAAACGAGGTGTTGTAGACTATGACGATTGTTTTATGTTGATCCCAAATTTTAAGAGTAAAGTTGGGAGTAATAATGTGCCAGAAGTTATACATCTTTCTGATAGTGAACATTCAAGTGGACTTAGAGAAGTTATGGTGAAAGAGTGCATTGGTTGTCATGATGATGATGATGATGATGATGATGATGATGATGATGATCATGATCATGATGATGATGATGATGATGATGATGATGATGATGATGATGATGATGATGATGATGATGATGATGATAATGGTGATGATGATAATGGTGATGATTTGGAGCTTCAGATTGTGGAGGACTCTTTGTTTTCTGATTCTGTGTTCACTTTCAGTGATGGATTAAATATAACAGATGGTCATGAGTTTGACGATAAGGAAGCAGCGCAAGAATATGTTCGAAAGAATATGTTCGAAAGGGTACAACTGTGGCTCGTTTTAGGTATACTACGCTGAGGTCTGATAAGAAGTTATGGGAAATAAGATGCAAATTTGCTGGATCCGGCTGTAATTGGAGGTTGCGTACGACATTGATCTTAAACTCGAAGCGTTGGAGAGTAAGAAAACACAATCCCATTCACAGTTGCAAACCCGTTTCAGAATCAAGCAAAAGTATGAGCGGTACAAAAAAATTGGTTAGAGATTATTTGAAGGATGAATTTCCCGGTAAACTTGATAACACTCCTTCTGCACATGAAATAATAGACTGTGTAAAAGCAAAGTATGGCACAACCGTAACATATTTGACGGCGTTACGGGGAAAGCACAAAGCTGAAAGTGAGATTCGAGGTGATCCTGCAGAGCATTTTAGGAAGCTTCCTGGATGGTTGTACATGTTGCAGAAGAGAAATCCTGGGACAATTGAAAGTCTCGAGTTAGACACAGATGGTAGAAGCTTCAAATACCTCTTCATTGCATTGGGTGCAACGGTCAAAGGATGAAATTACATGCGTAAAGTGGTTGCTATTGATGCAACCTTTCTTACAGGCCGGTACAAAGGTATATTAGTTGTTGCAACCGCACAAGATGGTGACCACCACCAATATCCATTGGCATGGGGTATTATCGATAGAGAAAAAGATGCATCATGGAGGTGGTTTATGGAAAGATTAATAAATGCAATCCCAGATGGACCTGATGTCGTTGTGATATCTGATCGACATAGAAGCATAATAAAGGCCGTTAGAGAAGTGTACAAAGAAGCTGGCCATGGATTTTGTGCGAGACACATAGCGCAAAATCTGAAAGTTAAGGTTAACAGAGGCATGGGAAGAAAGAGTTCAAGAGGTGAAACTGTCGCAGAAAGGTTTTTCAAATGCGCGGAAGCGTATACGTTGCACGAGTT